TCTTCCTCCTGCTCATCCTCCTCCTCCTCCCCCCCCTCCTCCTCCTCCTCCTCCTCCTCCCCCTCCTCATCGTCATCCTCCTCGTACTCTTCCTCCTCCTCCTCCTCCTCCTCCTCAGGCTCCTCCTCCTCTTCCTCTTCCTCCTCCTCCTCCTCGTCCTCTTCCTCCTGCTCCTCCTCTTCCGCCTCCTCCTCCTCATCATCATCATCCTCCTCCTTTTCATCATCCTGTTCCTCCTCCTCATCGTCCTTCTCATCCTCCTCCTCCTCCTCCTCCTCCTCCTCCTCCTCCTCCTCCTCCTCCTCCTCCTCCTCCTCTTCCTCCTCCTCCTCCTCCTCCTCCTCTTCCCTACCCTTACAAAGGGAAAGGAAGCGGAATGAACCTCCTCCCCCTCCCCCTTCATAGGCGAAAGGGAATGCATGTTCCCCTCCTCCATCCTGAGGGTAAGGAGAAGGACGGGGCCTCCACCTCCTTCCTGGGGGAGAATGCAGGAAATGAGCCTCACCCTCCCCCTGCCTGGGGGAAATTGGAAGGAATATCCTCCTCCTCCTCCTCCTCCTCCTCCTCCTCCTCCTCCTCCTCCTCCGCCTCCTCCTCCTCCTCCTCCTCCTCCTCCTCCTCCTCCTCCTCCTCCCCCTCCTCCCCCATCCTGAGGGGAAGGGGAAGGGCGGAATCTCCCCCGTTCCCCCCCCCCTGGCGGAAAGGGAGGGGAAGGAACCTCGTTACCTTTTCCGTCCTCCTGGGGGAAAGGGAAGGGGATGAAGCTCCTCCACCTCCTCCTCCACCTGCCCCTCCCCCTCCTAGGCGAAGCCGTGCTTCTTGCGAAGCACAAGAAAAAGACAACGAGGGAGGGAGATACAGTGAGGTAGCCACATATACACACCCGTAGCACCCCGCAGTTGCGGAAGAGAGCCAGGGGGCGGCGAGGACGTCGTCAGTCTGCGAGGCTCTGAAGAAGCCCGCCGCAGGCGCCTAACTTTTACAAGTTATGCAGTGGGCCCGCCGCAGGCGCCGAGTTCTTCGTTAAAGCAATGTGGGCGGATCGCGGGGTGGGTCGCGGGTGAGTCGCGGGTGGGTCGCGGGTGGGCCGCGAGGTGGGTCGCGGATGGGTCGCGGGTGGGTCGCGGGTGGGTCGTTGGTGGGTCGCGGGGTGGGTCGCGGGGTGGGTCGCGGATGGTTCGCGCAGTGGGTCGCGCAGTGGGTCGCGCAGTGGGTCGCGGGGTGGGTCGCAGGGGCGGGCCGCGGGTGGGTCGCGGGGTGGGTCGTGGGGTGGGTCGTGGGTGGGTCACGGGCGGGCCGCGCGGTGGGTCGCGGGGTGGGTCGCGGGTGGGTCGCGGGGTGGGTCGTGGGGTGGGTCGCGGGGTGGGTTGCGGGGTGGGTCGTGGGGTGGGTCGCGGGGTGGGTTGCGGGGTGGGTCGCGGGGTGGGTCGCGGGTGGGTCGCGGGCGGGTCGGGGGGGGGGGGACGACGACAGCAGCAACAACAACAACAACAACAATAATGTTAAGATTGTTCGCCCTTATATGCTCGAGTGTCCAATAACGCGTATTTCCCAAACCCTCGATACCCGCCCTCCTCGTTTTCGATCGAACCCCTTTTGGTGGGTATACCTTTCTTCCCTGCAGGCCGGGCCCTGGCAAGCGGCGGGGCGGCCGCGGACCGTCGGCCTGGCCAGCGGCAGCGCTGATCGGCGGGGCGGCCGCGGACCGTCGACCCGACCCCAAGAGGGACGGACAGGGGACCGACCACGACGACGACGACGACGACGACGACGACGACGACGACGACGACGACGACGACGACGACGACGGCGACGACGACGACGACGACGACGACGTCGAAGACGACGGCGACGACGACGACAACGACGGCGACGACGAGCGAAAGCGAGAGCGAGAGAGAGCGACAGCAGGGCCACGAAGGGCACGAAGTAGGTCACGAAGGGCGACAGCGGGGACACGAAGGGAATGCGTATGGGGCCACGAAGAGCGCGAACGAGCGGGGGCCACGAAGTGCAGATAAAGCGGGGCCACAGAAGGCAACTATGGGGCCATTGAGGGTAGCAACTGGGCCACGTAGGACAGCGAGGGGGAAACAAATGGCGACAGCGGGGCCACGAAGGGCATGCACATGGGGCCACAACGGGCGCGACTCCTGGGTGCCTGGGTGTCGGGAGCGCGGCGCTTGGGCAAATTGCCGGAAATTCCAACGCAAGGCCATTCTTCAGTAAGTTACAAACAACTTTCCAGCGAGAGCGCAACTCCAGAGCGCCGGGAGAGCGACTCCTGAATAGATCGAAAGGAAGTCCCAAGCGAGAGCGCGATTCCCGAATAAAATGCGAGGAGAAGTCTCGGGCGGGAGCGGGGGTCCTGGCTAAATTGTAAGGAAGTCTCAGGCGGGAGCCGTTGTTGTTGTAACCCGTGGGCCAGGGGCCCAGTTTGAACAGGAAGATTTTCCCTGTCAAAAAACAGGGTGCGAGAGTCGAGGAGCACACTTTGATTGAGGAAAAATAGTATGCACCGGTGGGGGGGGATCAACAATAATTATCCTTCAGAAGTGAGACTTCAAGCAGAATCCTCCCCGCAGATCCCCATTTCAGCCACGCACCCAGGAACAAAGAATGAGCGGCTGCCCCCCCTAACTCTGGCAAACGTATAAATATATATATATATATATATATATATATACATAAACATGCATACAAACATACATCCATACATACATGCATGCATACATACATACATACAGACATACATACCTATACACAGAGAGCGAGAGAGAGAGAGAGAGGGAGAGGGAGGGAGAGAGCGAGAGAGGGGAGGGAAGAGAAGCCGAAGGAGATAGAAAGAGGGAGAGAGAGAGAGGGAGAGAGAGAGAGAGAGAAAAAGAGAGATGGAGAGAGGGATAGAGAAAGAGAGAGAGAGAGAAAGAAAGAGAGCGAGAAAGATAAAGACTTGCCCCCGAACCGCCTCGAAATCGGCCCTCCAGAAGTGGCCGCCCTCTCATCCTCCTCTTCCTCCTCCTCCTCCTCCTCCTCCTCCTCCTCCACCGCCTCCTCCACCTCCTCCTCCTCCTCCTCAACCCCTCCTCCGCCCCTCCTCCATCCTCCTCCTGCTCCTCCTCCTCTTTCGCCTCCTTCTCCTCCTACTCCTACTCCTCCTCCTTCCTCCTCCTCCTCCTCCTCCTCCTACTCCTACTCCTACTCCACCCCCTTCGTCCTCATCCCTCCTCCTCCTCCTCCTCCTCCTCCAGGATCCCCCATGCTATTGGGTTCGCGCCCCCTCCCACCCACCCTTCGATGGGTCCCCCCTCCCCCGTGGGCGTTTGGTGGTGTGCGTGTGTGTACACAGGTCTGCGAACTCGTCCTCGTCGTCGTCGCTGCCGTCGTCTCGGGGATCATGTGAGCCATCCTAGGGCACGGAATGGCCCTGGCCAGGTGTAGTTGTGGTGTACGGCGACCTGCCTGCGCAGAGGAGCTCGAGAGCGCCGTCTCCCTCGTGCGGGAGCTGGAGGCCCACCACAAGGAGCGCGAGGAGCTGCAGAAGACACGCGCGGACCTGCTGGCGGTGGGCTTCCAGACGAGGGGCCAGGAGAACCAGGAGTTCGCGTCCCTCATCGTCTGCGCCACGGCCGGCATCTTCGCCGTCACGATCCACTTCGGCTTCTTCTGCATCTTCGTCCCTGCCTACCTGATGTACAGGCCGAGGGGCCGAAGCAGAAACGCGTCGATGTGACAGCTCGGAGGTCCGCCCTGCGTCGGCGCTGGCCGCGCATGCCTTGTCATGCGGGGGCGATAGGCGGACCGAGGGCTGCAGGAGAGAGGCCCGGAAGGGGCCCCGCGGGGCCCCACTTCCCTCGGCGGCGACGATCGGGGCGAGTGGCCCAGGGCGGACATTACACGCATTCGCCCGGGAGCCTTTTCGAAGACATAGGTCATCGGCGCAGCTGAATACATGTATTGCTCTCCCCTGGGCTATTCGCCCCTATCGTCGCCTCTGATGTCCATATTTTCCCATCTTTTCCTGGGTGAAACTTCCCCGCCGATTTTGGTGGCAGGCTGGGCTCCCGGGTTCCCGGTTCCAGGTTCCCGGGTTCCCGGTGATTGGTTCACCGGCCGATTTTGGTGGATTCTGGGTTCCTGGGCTCCCGGGTTCCCGGTCGATCTCCTCAGCGAAAACCATCCACTGATTGGGGTTTTCCTCTGGTGTACTTGTATTGTTTCCGCCCCCGCACCCGGGCTGGAAACGTTATCCCCTCTTCCTCCTCTCCACGGCCCTACTTCCATTGATTGGTTCATGCATCGAGAATGCAATAGGGTTCCCATCGTCTGTGGCACGCGTGGTCTTGCTTATTGTTGTTCGAATGTGATGTGCTACATACCGCTGTGTGTGCGGGGCGTGGTATACCAGTCAGTGGGATCGTTTCCAGGGAAGCAGAGAAGATCTAATATCTGAATAGGCGAAGGATGAAAGCATCCATAGCGACACGTCGTGCAGTTCTTGCCTTCGCAGTCATGATCGTCTTGGCATCGAAGACCAAAGGGTTATCATCGGTGCAGCGGTGGTCTACCCGCGCAGCTCTGGATACCCCGGGGGGGTCTCGACTTCTGATCCGGGTTGCTCCAACAGGCGCGCCACGTCGGCGACGAGGCATCAGCGGGCCTCCACGGACGCACTGCAGGAGGTCGTCCACCGCATCCGGGAGGTCGACGGCTCGGGGCCTTAAAGATTACCACCCCCAGACCTGTCTAGAGGCCATCAGAGGTTTCTCTACAAGATGAGGCGCCAATCGGCTTCTTGGACGAGCACCAGAGGCTCGTCCACAACAAAAGGGAGTGCACCACACGCCTTCCGCCGGACATGGACGCTTGCCTGCGACACTCACGGGACCTTTTTTTCCACTTGTTACTTCGAACACTCTCCAGCCGTGGCGACGAGAAGCCCACTGCAAGCCCGAATAGGGCGAAAAACGCCAGAAACCTCGATCTGGGAACCTCGACCCTCGCCATCGTTCACTCGTCTTCCCGTCCGCACCGCCGCTCAGGATCGGTCTTCGGACCCCCCCGTAGCCATTTTGGCTCGAGGCTCAAGACCTGTCGTGGCAAGACACCAGTCGTTTCATCCTGCTCGTCGAGTGATTTGGCAGATCTCAGCGGGTGCTTCTGGGCTGCGATGTTGCTGCTCACCATGTCTGTGCTAGGGCACCCTGCGATGCTTCTCTTTCGCGCGCTCCACTGGTCAGTTGGGGGGTACCCCGAGGCCGCCGTGGAGGAGGTTCTCAGGGGAATGCTGCCAGAGCCGGGCCAGGTACACACTGAGGTGGCTCTTGCCGGGAGAGCTGCGTGGACGGCCCGGCCTTCTCTTGGTGCCAAGCTCGACGCGAGCCCGCGCCGCATGACGGAGTTCGGGGAGGACTCGTCGGGCGAAACCAGTACCGGCATTGTTGTGGCTGGCCTTGTTCGGTGGATTATCGGTCTGCTCATCATGATCGCCGCGGCGTATCTCTTCGCACGCAGGTGCAAACAATCGATCACTGAGAAGCGTGTGCCGTGGCAGGGCTGCCCTCCCGGTTTCAGGCCTCCAGCCCACTGGGGGCATCTGGAAGTGCGAGATTTGCAAATGCTTCGACATACGGATTTTGCTGTACCGCTTGTCGGCTCGGCGACGCCTACACCATGACCAGAATCGGACCCAGCTTCAGGACGTACATACACGCCGACGTGGCAGTCGAGGTGATCAGGCAGGTCTTCAAGCTCGTGGTGGCGCTTGTCTGGGATGCGTTGGGTGTGGACGAGGGTGACATGAGTGAAGTGGGCAACTTGTGCTTTTACGTCTCGAACGTCTTCGTCTTCATGGCGTATTGGCTCGCTGGGCAGCGCACGAAGCTGCGCCAGGCGCTCGGGGACCCACGGCCAGAAACTCACTGCGCCATGGACTTTCTCCTCTACGGTCGAGCATCTGATTAAGAAACCTCCTCCCGACAAGCTGGGCCAGCGTTTCTTGACCAACTTTCCGGAAAAATGGCCCAGTTGTTTTAGCACGTTCGTTCTTCCAGCGATCACGGCAGAAATTTGCCCAGGTCTGTTTTGAGAGATCTCCAGGAAGCTGGCCCAGATTTCTTCATTGAGAAGTTCCTTGATCACAGTTTCGGCTGTACTGGCGCTGCTCATGCCGCACGGCCGTACAGGAGGGCAGGCAGGTGGACGAGCTCACCGACACCGAGACCGAGTGCTTTCTCCAGCCGCAGCCCCTCCACGTGGCGCCCCAGGGGACGCCCCCGGCCGTGGTCGGCCAGCCGGTGGGCGCCCTCGCCGCCCCGGTCGAGGGCACGGTGCAGGCAGGGGCGGCAGCTGGATGCCGAAGTTGAACTTGAACTCGCGGGCCCGAGGATCCTCCGCCTCCGACTCGAAGCTCAGGGCTCCATCGTCGGCAGCTCCGCCGAGAAACTTGCATCGGCGTCGCTGGGATGGGCCTGGGAGGGAGACAGGGGAGTGGCATCCGTGCCGCTGCTCTCGCACTTAGCCTCTGGGGCTGGAAACCGTTTACGAATATACTCATGCCCACGCTCCCTAAGCAATTACTTCTGACCCATACGCTGCGCCTCGGCAGGCTACGCTTGGACCCCTCCGCGGGCTGCTTGAGAGGCCTGGGGACCAAGGGCAGACGCCTAGGAAGATCCAGGAGCCTAGTGTACAACTGGGACCCCTTCGCCACAAGCTCGAGAGACAATCCAACATGCGGCTTCCAAGGGACAGGAACAAGTGCTGTCAGGCTGCGAAAGTGAGGCTTGCCGGCCTCAGAGCATACCATAATCAAGATAAGATTGCCGTTGATCACAATTGGACGGTGTACATATGAAATCAATATCTGACTGGAGTATCGAACCCCCTTATTCTATCTAAGAGCCCCGTCTTGGATATGTCATGCTGGGAAGGGTACCAATCCCCGATCGCGACCTAAGGGAGTTGCACAGTTGCCAAAAGATTGCCGAGACGACGAAACCTGGCAAGACTGGCCGGTGAGAGGCCTACACTAGATTGTCCGGACACAATGCACAAGATGACGGAGAAATTTGCCATATGTTGGTGGCACTGCAAAAAAAATCGAACACGTCGCCTTCGTCCGCTCTGGGACCCTTGGTGGTTCCGGCGGCATCTAAACCTTGCACTGGCTTTTGGCTTCTAGACATGAGCCATTTGCCTCCTTTATTCGCTCTCTCCTCCTGCGCCGAACATGCCAATCTGGATTTGGGCCTAGCCCCGTTGGCGAAGAGCTTGAGACCACGGCTGCGCTCCTTGCTCGTCCACCTGAGTACGTCATTCGATCGAACATGTGTTTCAACAACCCCAAGAAGTCGTACGACTTGGATTGGGCACACAAGCACACCCACGCCTTGTCACCCATGCAAGTCACGCTCCCACAGAACATCGCAGTGCTCGACACCGAAGAAATAGGGAAGATAGTTGAAGCTGAAAAGGCCGTACTAGTATTGTTAGGGGTGG